TTTATTTACTCAGTGTCCTTTAGGCTTCTACCTCTCCAGTTCCGGGCCAGACGGCCTTGTATAGCATCCGGTGGGCACATGATCTTGCTGGTTTTCAGTCACCAACGAGCCACACGCTTCCACAGAAAGTTTTGGAATCTGCCCGACGGAGATTGTTGCATCAGAAATCCAAGAAGTCCCCAATGACTACATAAATTCTCCTTAAGTTCTTCCAAAGCCTGGATGGCTCTTTGGTCGATACGAGATTTATGGCCATGGCACCCCTCGCTCACGCAGGGTTCTTGAGGTTTGATGAGCTTTCAAACCTGAGACTCGAGGACGTAATTCCACATCCAACATACTTTGAACTATTCACTGAAAGTAGCAAGACCAATCAGTATGGTGAGGGTGCCGCTGTACCAATTGTCAAAACCAGTACTGACCTCTTTCCCTGGGCTAACCTTGTCAAATAATTGTCCCAAGCTAAGTTCCTTCTCCCTTCATCTCTTAATGGTGGCGATGACTTCCTGTTTGGGAACATACAGGCTAATTCCGGAACCCAATTTATCCGTACCGGATCCAATATTTCATACACCAGATGTCGTGAGATTTTGTCAAAAAAGTTAGCTGTACGTAGGCCTAGATCGTGCATCCTTTTCCTGGCACAGCTTTAGAAGTGGCGGTGCGTCTTCCGCTGCTAATGGCGGTATTTCTGACAGAATCGAATGTTTAAGAGACACGGTAGATGGCGTTCAGAAAACGCTAAAGATGGTTATGTTGCAGACTCGTTAGAAAGCCGTTTAGCGGTTTCTTTTTCCTTAGGTCTGTAATTCGCGTCCTTTTTATTTTCACAGCTCCTAGTTCGAGCTTCACACTCACTCTTGTGTATGAAATAGGAATTGTAAATTATTTCGTTTGGTTTCAGGACACTAGAAGAGAATGGGCCATTTTCTTTTTCCATCCGCAACCCTCCCCCTCTCCTCTCTACAGAAGGCTTCCCCATAACGGCCCTTTGGAATAGGAATTTCTTAATCCCTTTCAGGTACTACTCATAGGATGCTTTATATCCCCTGGAAAATTATCTGGGAAGCCCTCGGAAACTTAGTCTGCATGATTACCCCCATCTTTTCTTTTTGCCACCAAGAAAGGTCTGGCAGAAAGAAAAAACGAATTGGATAATAAATAACTTATTCAGGAGTTTTTTTGTGTAGTATTGCTTTGTATTTTTATTTGTCGTTTATAGTTTGGCTCGCACCATGGGCCCGT